ATGAAAAAGCTGAATCACACATAAAAAGCCCAATAATTTGAGAACATTTTAAAGTTTGAATGGAGTTTCTACGTGAAAGTATGAGGAAGTAGTTAAGTTTCAAAAACAAGCAAGTTTTAGCAGAATTGTGGAAGTTTTCCATTCATTTCAATGGGACAAAAGGAAAAAAGTGTAATATTTTAAAAAGTATAATAGTAATAAATACCAAAAGATATAGCCGGAATTAGCAGAAATAACAGAATACTTTGAGGCATTCACACAATTATTATTGCCTGATGAAGCAGGCTTTTTTAAGGTTATAATGGAAGCTTATGGATGAAACTCCGGCATTCAGATTTAAAAGCCTTGATTTTTCCAAACCAGCAGTGACTTATTTCATCTCATGTGTCAGCAAATAGAAGCTGCTCGCTTCTTGTGCCTCAGAAAATGTGAAGCCAGTGTGTTAATTTGCAGAGAGAGGACACAAAGATCAGGGGTCACCACAAAAGAATTTACCAAAGTCTTGTTTGTTAGCCTGTTGGACCACAGGCTGTAAGTACTGGGCACACTCAGAGTGAAGTAAAGCCCTCAGTGAACAACTTAAAGCCCGAACTGGCAGATTAAATCCATCTCTAATTCTTGTTACCAAGGAAACACTGATAGCACAGCCATATGGTTAAAGGTAAGCCAAGCTGCTTGTTTTTAGTGATCTGGGTTTTGAACTCGGATTTTCTTTGGAGTTTAGATTTCTCATATGGTAGCATTCAGTGTTAAGCTATATAGTGTAAGATATTGAGTATCGATCAGTTTTGATCATCACCTGCTACATCTATATTTTAAAAATGGCAGATAAATGATGTGTGCCATGTGTTGCTAAAGCCAAAACGTTGAGTTTTGGGAACCAGGAACCAGTTGTGGGAGATCAGGGGAAATCAAACAAAGTAAAAGGCTATGCTGGTTTCAACCGTGGAGAGCTCTTCTGCCTCCTTAAAGATACCTTGGGTAACATGACAATCCTTCAAAAATATTTTATAGACATGAAAGGAAAAGCAGAGTCCTTTATCCAAGTAAATGAGGAGGAATCCATGTTTCAAGACCCCCAAATCTGTTGTTTTGCTTCTGTAAGGTGCAGAAGAGCTTTATAACTTGAACTAGTGTGTCTAGTGTCTGTCTCCCAACCCGGGGCCTTTAGCCACTCCTGTAATTCTATTTCTAACATGTGTTATTGGCACAGATGCAGATCTTCTCTGCTGAAGTCGTCCTCCTTGTTTTAACACTGTCTTTACCCGTGGAAGCCAAAAAGTGTCCCAGAGCCTGCAGCTGTGACAGCACCACACTCACAACAGCCTGTGTGGGCAAGAACCTAACAGATGTCCCCCCGACTGTGGAGGAGGTGAGGAATTCAGGGGTTTTGCTGTATCTTAGGCATGTAGGCTTTTTAAACTGAGGGTTGATAACAAGCTGGATGGATCCTCTCCTCTTTACTCTGAAGGATGGCGCGTGCATGTGTTTCAATAACAATTTCAAATGCTCTCCTCTTAACCTGACTGAGATGCTCTGGCACGACCTGAAAAGGGTTTTCAATTAAGACATCCCAGAAATATTGATGAACTGAAACAGGTTTATAGGACAAAGATTTCTCCTCAGTGAAACATCAGAAACATCTAAAGGAAGTTTGCTGCTGCTAAAGAAGCTTCTGTAAAATACTGCATGTAATTATTTTCCAGCCTGTGTTGTGAATGATCACTCATTGTCCTCAGTAAAGAAAGAATGAAAGCGTATAATTATGAAGCACGGACCACATTCTGTGAGTAATTAGTGCTGAAATCAAGAGAGAGTGATTTTAGAACCAAAGAGTGATTAGCTAACCAGACTTATTATCTGAATAAACCAGCCTCACTCTGGTTTCTGTCCTGGCATGTAATTGTGTGTCCAATACTCATTGTTTCCTCTAGATTACTGTGAAACTCGACCTGAGAAATAACAACTTGCAGGTGCTGTCCAGGGGGACATTCATGCACACACCCTACCTCACCCATCTCAACCTGCAGCGCTGCAACATCATCGAGATTAAAGAGGGCGCCTTTCGGACTCTTGGCCGAGTGGTCTCTCTAAACCTGGCTCACAACAAAATTGAAATCCTTTACCAAGTAAGATCAGAGGCCCGCAGTTTTTCCTCTCGAGTCTTTATTATGAGAATGATGTTCTCTTCTTTTCACTGCTGCAGGAGTCCTTTGACGGTCT